AAGGTCGGAAATTCCCAGAAAACGCAATTGCAGTTCCCAATCATACGGCAGAGCAGGCAAATTAGGCAAGTGGTCTGAAGAAACAAGTTCCAGGCCATATTGTTAGGGCAGTTGGAAAGGACTAGTTTCCAATCTGCACCTTCCCTTCTCATATTATTGCCACAATTGTTAGGGCAGTTGGAAAGCACTAGTTTCCAATCTGCACCTTCCCTTCTCATATTCAGCCCTGTTCTGCAATCCGATTCGAATCGGAATCGGAATTGTTTCCGATTGTTGGTGTTCTGCATTCCGATAATCGGAAATTATTTCCGATTCCGCCTTGTTCTACATTTCGATCCACTTCGAATCGGAATTCTATCGGAAATTTGATGTTCTGCATTCCGATTATCGGAAATTTTTTATCGGAAATGTTCCGATCAGCTAAAAGCCAGTGGAATAGAAAATATTCAAAACGAAAAACAACAAGTAAGAAAGTCTAAGTTCGGGCGGAGCCGAACATTAAATACCCGGCGCAATTATTAAATATATGTTTTCTACCTTTCCGAAAGCTACCGCTACACGATAAGCCGGGGTGTATAAATTTTAAGTAAATTAGCGTCCTTAAATTTCGAAATATTGCAGTTTCAAGCATTTCTGAAATATACCGTTATATGAAAAGCGGTCGTAATTTAAGTCCGATTTCAATAATTTTCAACGCTTTGCTTTTATGTGGCAAGCACAATAACCATACCGAGTTTGGTTCAAATTGCTCGAACGGTTAGCGAGATACATATATGTGATCATAAGTGGGCGGTGCCACGCCCATTTTCCAAAATTGTATCATAAGCGTATTTCTTGGTAAAAAATTGTTGCAACCATCAATTTTGAATAAATTAGCTTTAATATTTACTGATTTATCGAGGATTTCGTATTTTTCTAAATTACCGTTATATGGGATGTGGGCGTGGTTATTGTCCAATTTTAAAAATTTTCGGCCATTTGGTATATTGTAGCAGGACCAACAACTGTACCATGTTTGGAAGAAATTGGTGCAGCGGTTACCAAGATATACACATGTAACCATAAGTAGGCGTGGCTACGCCCATTTGCCAAAATTTTTTAATATTCTTATTTTTCGTCTAAAACTCATTGTAAATATCAATTTTGAGTGAATTATCTTCAGTAGTTACTAAAATATCGCACTTTTCGTATTTCTGAAAATTACCGTTATATGGGAGGTAGGCGTGGATATTGTCCGATTTCGCCCATTTTCAATACCATCCGTCCTATGCCCAAAAGAAGTCCACGTACCAAGTTTCGTTAAGATATCTAAATTTTTACTCGAGTTATCGTGTGCACAGACGGACGGACGGACAGACAGTCACCGCTTAATCGATTTCTCTTTTCATTCTGATCATTTATGTATACATTTGTCTATATCTATCTCGATTCGTTTTGCCTGTTACAAACAACCGTTTTGTGAACAAAGTTATAATACCCTTGTGCACAAGTGCGCTCGGGTATAAAAATATAACTGTTAACGGTCAAAGGAAAAATTGTATAGTCAGCAAACAGCAAAGAATGTAAGTAAAGAAAATAAAAGTGGTAATTATTAAAATTAAAATTATTAAAATGCAGGGGAAAGCACAAGACGGCAGAGCAAAGCAAAAATATGCTGGATTTCATGGAAGTAAATCCAGACATAGCTCTTGAGGAAAAGTGGCGCCAACTAACGGAGTCGTTGAATAGCCAAGGACCACCAATAAAAAACACAAATGAGTGGAAGAAGGTAAAATATTATTGTGATTATAAGGATAACAATAATAGATTTTTTGCAACTAGACCTGGACTGACTGGAAAAGTGAAGTGAGGAAGAAATTGGCACACAACAGAAGAGAGGCCGTGGCTACCGGAGGCGGCCCATTTAAAAAGTACACTTTTTCGGAGGCGGAGGAAACGGTAGCAAGAATTTCCGGACTGTACGCTGTTGTAGAAGGCATATCAATGTCCACTTCTTTTGGAACTGGGGAGGAGGCAGTATCCGCGCCCGATTTAAGCGATGATGATTTGCCTACCACATCCGCAAGAGCCCGTGAGGAGGAAACCAATCCGTCTCCGACCCCAAAGAGGTACAGAAATAATCCCTCACTATAGGTAAATTACAAAATAAAATATGAATACTTACATATGTATATATGTGTATATGTTAATGTATGTATGTATATATTATACCTTTTGTATATTTCTAGGATTCCGTGAAGGCATTCATGCAAGCGGAAAACAAATTCCATGAAAGCCTTTCTGGAAGCATTGCAGCGCTGGCGAGAAATCAAAAAGACACCGAGACCGACGTCAGACGAGTTTACCGCGGCTTAGACAAAATTAATGCCACTTTAGAAAACATCCGCAGCGACATGAATAATCACCATAAAAAAGTGGAAGAAGCATTGCTGGAAAAAAAACCAAATTAAACTGCGACAGCTTGAGTTAAATTTAGAACGTTTCGAATTTGAAAAAAGTAAAAAGTCTTAAAATGTTTAGTTTTTTGTGAAAATTGTTTTTAATTACAATACTTGTTTTTATTAAATATACTTGTTTTTATTAAAATATTATATAATATTATTCGCAATTTCGTCTCTAATTCTTTGTGCTTCACTTTGCAAGTTAATGTCTGTTGGTACAAATCTATCTACTTCACTATCTACTTCGCTGGCGTTTTCTTCAGGTTCATCATAGTCATATTCAAGATTATA